AGACAAAGATAGTACAAAAAAAGAAAATTACAGACCAATATCACTGATGAATATAAATGCAAAAATCTTCAACAAAATACTAGCAAACAGAATCCAACAACACATTAAAAGGATCATACACCATTATCAAGTGGGATTTATCTCAGGGATGCAAGGATTCTTCAATATATGCAAATCAATGTGACACACCATATTAACAAATTGAAGAATAAAAACCATAAAAGAAAAATAGGAGACTGAAGCTTAGATTGTGCAACATGTCCAAAGTCTGAAAATTATTGGTTCAGATCCATCTCTGCCCTTTATTCTAAGTCCAAATCCCAAGTTAACTACCTGTGCCACATGACCCTTTAATAGCTATAATGATTCCTCCTCCCTTAACTGTTCCCTAGTCTTCATTTTTTTCCATGAAGACTTGCAGACTCACAAAAAACTTCCCTGGTGGTTCAGAATCTGCCTACCAGTGCAGGGGACACAGGTTCTAGCCCTGGCCCAGGAAGATCCCACATGCCTCGGAGCAACTAAGCCCACACACCACAACTATTGAGCCTGTGCGCCACAACTATTGAGACCACACACCTAGAGCTAGAGCTAGAGCTCGTGGTCTGCAACAAGAGAAGCCACTGCAATAAGAAGGCCATGCACCACAATGAAGAGTAGCCTCCGCTTGTCGCAACTAGAGAAAGCCCGTGCACAGCAACGAAGACCCAATGCAGCCAAAAATATTATTAAAAACAAAACAAAAAAAGGCGATGATGAAAGTGTCTTTTACTTCCAGCCTGAGTATCAGTAACAGAAAAGAAAAAGGTATTTGTGTGAAGGAGAAACACAGTGTTGGCTTTGAATAAGATGGATATTCAGTTATTGGACCTATTTGTCACATCCTCATATTGCATTCACCAGGGTATCTTCCCTCTTATCCTGTTCACCATGAAAGGGCTCAGCCATGACTATAGTTGACAATGGGATTAAATGCTCTACTATATGATCTATAATTTACCTCATATCCTGAGTCTGATAGGCCTGGGTGTTGTCATGATTGGTTGTCCCTGGATGGAGCAGGAGCACACATACAGGTAGTATTTTTCTTCTTTTTCCTCATACAGTATTGAATGACTGACTGGAGATAAAGAAACTGGAGATTATTGGTATTTGTTCTTGATCTAAAGAAGAACTAACAGGTCATCTATAGAGGAACCCCTTACTGTGGCATTTCGGAGGATATTCGGCTAGAAAGTACTTAGTACTAATCCTCTTGAATTCAATTAAGTCCAGATTAAGAGCCATGGATCTCCATACACACATTCTGCTTTACATAGTATAAATGGACTTTCAGCTAATGCCAAAGAGCTATCCCATGACAAAGGTTCCTTGTCATTTCCCTCACAGCACTGGTGCCACTGACAGACATGAACATCATTTTTCTTCATTTTCTCCAAAGCACAAGTTATGGTCAGGAGATAACTGTAAAATAAGCTTCTAACTCTGGTAATTTTATGGTATCTTTTCATCAACTCCTAATAAAATCTAGCAGATACATTACATTTGGCATTTAAATTAGATTCATAGAACACAATGTTTCCCCAATAAATGACTTAGGTTTGGTACTGAACTCCAGGACCCTTGGTAAGGAGATAGGGAAATAAGTACCCTTCACCCCAAAACAATGGGAAAAAATTAATAAATGTTATCCATTCAACCTTAGGCTTAGGCATAGGATTCTGAGGAAACAGAAATTTAGACCTGGCTTAGGGACATTAAGCCAAACTTTAGAAAAAATTTCTGATATTCTAAGTCCTTCATTTTTTTGTTGATGATATATGAGGTTTAAATTTTACACTGGTTTAATCATTGGCTTCTTTAGATTATACGTTCAAATGTGAAGATGATTCCTTTTAAGCCTAAGGTAAGTCACCTTAGCTTTTATATTTTTGTAATGGTTTGTAAATTGAGGAGGCTAAATGAGCATTTTCAATTTAAAGTCTGAAACATTTTACAACTAAAATGGACATACCATAATTGAGTGTGATTGCTTCATTCTGTTTTTTTCATGCATTATCACGAAATTTCTATAGGTTTCTAGCCTGAAGTAGTCATCTCATTATGGAACTTCTATGATCAATAAATAATAAAAGTTCATACATTTATTTTGATAATTTGTCCCTAAGAATTCTCCAAAGAGATCTAAAGTTATATAAAGGTTTGCATCTACCACTGGGAATATATTTATTCTCATCACCTTTACTCAGTTCTCTACCCAACCTCTTTCATGTCAATAATCCCACTCTTACCTTCTTGCTTCTGTCGTTTTACTTCAGTTTGGCTGCTGTCCTTCATGTAGGCTACTTCAGGGTCTCCAAAATGGAATCTCCTAATGTCCTTCTGTCTCCTCCTCCCCACTCGTAGTTAATTTTATTATGAGGAGATGTGGGATACTCATCTCCTGAGAAATATGGAGGTAAATGGAAATGCCCACATTTCCAGTTATCTATTTAAATGGGAGAATGACCTGGCTTGAGGACTTTAACTCCTGTGAGCAGTAGAGTCCCATTCCAAGGCTCATTATATTAAGGTTTCTCACATTCATATCGCCTCCATTCTCAACAAAAGACCTTTTATGGGGCAAGTGAAAAGGATTGGAAAATCTTGCCAACACAATTTTTCCAGACCTTTACGAACAGAATTTGTAAACCATTTTCAAGAAGGTGTTAAATTATAATTTTACCTTCTAGAAATTGTGCAAAACGCTCTCTCCAAAGAGAAACCAGAAATCCTTCACCAAAAAAGTCAAAGATATAAATGATCCTACTTCTGTGGTCTGTATGCTTGTGTCTATTGTGCTTAATTGTATGAAGTCAAATAGTAAAAGGAATATTGTACAAAAACTCAAGCCCTGATTTCCTCTTTCAAATATTTCAGATATTCCCCTTTCAGGAAATCCACGGTCAAGCAGAATATCTTCTAGCATTCCTCTTAGACCCTTTTCTCCATAACTCAGGTAAGACTTGGTTGCATGGGTCTTATTTCATTGGTTTCCCTGGCCAGAGCCTTTTCCTGCCATCACTAAATATCTGTCTCCTAGATTCAGAACAGTCACTTGGGTTGAGCCCCTGACTTAAGAATGTGGAGAAGTCTCTCTCGAATTTGTTTAGTGTGAACAGCATAGACAATTGGGTTGAGGACGGGTGGAATGAGGAGGTAACATTTGGCCAAAAGGATATGGATATGGGGAGGGACATGATTGCCAAAGCAGTGAGTGAGAGAGGAAACAGCAATGGGGATATAGAAGACAAGGATAGCACAAATATGAGAACTGCATGTTCCTAGGGTTTGAAGCCTAGCCTCAGGGGTGGTGAACCCTATGACAGCCCTAAAAATCACCACATAGGAGGCAGTGATGTCTAGTGAATCCAGGATCATTACCAGGAAGCCAATTCCCATTCCATGTAAGTTGTTGTGTCTACATGCCAAGGTGACCATGGTCATGTACTCACAGTAGGAGTGGGCAGTGATTTGGGTCCGGTAAAGGGGCAGTCTCAGGCAAATCATCAGGGGCAGAGGTCCAATGTAGAGTACTCCATGAAGGAGGGCAGCCGGGCCCAAACGTCCTACCAGTGCATGGGTGAGCATTGAGGTGTGGCATAGTGGGTCACAGATGGCCACATAGTGACCAAAAGCCATGGCAAGGAAGATGCCTGACTCTACCGTGACTAAAGAACATTTGGGTCAAGCAAGTATCTAGGTCAATGTGACAGGCACAAAAACAGAAGATGGTTAGCAGTTTGGGCATGGTAGAGGTTGACAGGACCAAGTCAATGACAGCCAACATGCACAGGAAGAAGTACATGGGCTGGTGCAGGCTGTGCTCCAACTTTACCACGGCCAGGATGGTCACATTCCCCACCACAGCCACCAGGTACATGGAGCTAAAGGGGATGGAGAGCCAGATGTGCAGGGACTCCAGCCCTGGGATGCCAGTAAGCCAGAAAGAAGTAGGCACCAAGCAGGAGTTATTAGCAAGCAGACATGAACATGTTTGAGGGCTTAGAGTAGCTAGGGGACAGGAGTTCTTAGTTTTAGATTTTTACTGCTATAACAGATATTGCCTATGGAAACTGTAGACTACTGGAATCTTATTTCCATCCTGGCAGAACCTGTAATAAAGAAGAATTCTGAATGCCTACTTGAAAATTGACATGTATTTTATAAAAGAGACTGCATGAAAACACCCACTGGTAAATGTAGAAACAGGTATGCTTAACATTTCTACTGCTGAATTACTCTCTTCCATTTCCTTTAGGAAATATTTCCCAAAGCAAAATTATTGGATCAAAGGGGCTGAACAAGTTGGGGGACTTCTACACTGGAAAACACAAAGTTCTACGTGCAATGATTAAATGTAAGTCCATGTAATGTGTTTAGCCTAGTGCCTGCATATGCTTCTCTTTGTTGTATAAAGAGTAACATCAATAACAATGATTAGCTATTTGCAATTCATGATTTTATAGTGAAAATTTAGAATCAATGCGTTCAAAAGTAAAGCATTATTCAATGAATTAGATTTATTATAATATTTTTAAAGCTATGTATTACCTGGTAAAACGTTTATGTCATATTATAGTAAGTGAGGGAATGGCAGAAAGCAGATTAAAGTATTGATATGATATGATTTCATTAAAATATGTGTTTCTTATAGGAATATACCTTGGATGTAAAAACACATTCTTTTAATTTTCTTTCGTGTATGGGTATATTCAGGTTTTGAAGAATAGTGAAAAGCTTTAAAAGTCTTACTTTTTAAAAGTCAAAAACATAACGGGACAATTTACTAAGGAAAATATATTAGTGAGGTACAATTCCCTTTTCTTTAATGGCTTAATAATGGTTTGGTCAGACTGATGAATCTAATTGATTTCTTTAAAAGATACCTGGCATAGGACCTAATTTTTCAAAGGAAAATATCTAATTTAAGGTTGCCCAGATTTCATGGTTAGAAAGATAGAGTCAACAGCTAGAGTCAACTGTCCTAAGGAACAGTAAGGACAGAGTCTATTAAACTTTCTGAGAATCTGGGCATCATCTATAATTTGAGATAGGTAAAAGATGAGGTACATCTTTTTATGAGCAAATCTCACTGGACATTTGCCCATTATCTGATCACAGTGATTAAAGAAAAATACTGAAAGAAAACAGTCAACAGGACCCTTCTTACTGGCCACATACTTCTTGGTCTCTATTCTTTGAAGATAGGGAGATCAGCGCTAAACCACTGTCCATTACTTGTAAAAGCCAGGTCCACTTCTTGTTCTTTTGCCCTTCAGGTGCCTCTAAGAATCTAGCAATGGCTCCTACTGCTACACATCCTCAGGGTTCAGAAGCTGAGGGCACAGGGTATAATTTGGGTCTTGTCCTCTCTTGGGCTTGCCCTCCTCATGTTTCCCATTAGAGTCTCAGATTCAACAAGTCAGGCTCCCCATACTCATGTCATAGTAACATGGCTACATTTTTGCTGAGAGATCTCACCACCTTCTTGGTTTTTTACCCAGGCATCAAGTCCCATTCCAGACCATCTCTCCTCTACAAAGCCTTCTTTGATATCTCTATACCAGAGTGGATGGGTACATAGTCACTGAATTCCCCCCAACTAAATTCCATGCACATTTCAAATTATTCATGTCTAAAATATAAATAGAAGTTACATTTTCATAGCAAATAAGCATAAGAAATGCCCCTATGTAACCTCATGGATTTGTAATTCAGGTTCCAACACACAATGTTAGGATTTTTGAGTTTACTTACTTCTGGGTCAGGTATTGACTAGGTATTGAAAAAAAAGATTAAAGTTTTGTGAACTTTAAAATTGTTCACAGATGTTCACAGATGTTCTTTTATATATTAACTCTGACTTTAGCAATTCTGTGAGTTGAGTATTTGAATATGCCAATAAGTGATACCATGTGGGAAACTACTTCCTCAGGGATCAAATTGTGAATCTTTTGGATAAGAAAAGGAAAGGATGGGAGATAGCAGCAGCTTAGGGTATCAGCTTTACCATCTAACAAAACCAGATTTCCCATCCAGACCATCTTACCCTATGTTTGGGTAAACTGCCTAAACTCTTGAAGTCTCAGTCTTTTTCTTATTAAAAATGGGGAGACTATCAACTGCAAAGGGTAAGGGTAAAGAACAAATGAAGTAAGTGTGAAGCTCTTGGCATATGGCATCAGCTTCTTTTCCCCAAATTCTTACTGTTCACTATGGGGTGGGGAGTAGAGCAGAAATTTACATCCTGCAAATTGGAATAGTTTCCTTTATTTCACTGTCATGTGGGACATCTTTGAAGATTCCTCAAATCCAGGAATTGTAGAGATAAGACAGGGATTTATTGGGAACACTGGTCAATACACAATTTTATCTCATAAAAGGGAGAATATCTGAAGTGTTCTCTGAAGATACTGTGATAGGTCCCTTTATGGTTTAGGATGGTGGCCTAATTACTCAAAGTCAGGGAAGGTCAAAGTATCTCATCATAAAAGAATCAATTGTTCATGCGATGGACTTAAAACCAGATTTCTAACTTGAATTTGTGCCAGACCCAGTTTAGTCAATGAAATTGTACCTGAGTTTTAGGCTGGGACAAAGAATATGAGCATATGAATAAAAATCCACCAAGTTGATAATTGGCATCTTAAGTGGTGGTTTGAGTTAGGTGTGACACCTAAACTGTGTCATTTTACCTAGAACATTCTAGAGAAACATTTTCTGTATCAGTCCACATAAGGGCATCCTTACCTGAACACGGGAGACATGCCTGCAAGTCCTGGAAGAGACATCCTGATGGTGGGTCTGAAGCTCCTGAGACAGATGTTTTGCTGTGGTGAAATAAACATGGATTAGAAGCAAGACAAACTTAGTGCAAATACGAACTCTACTGTTTCTGGCTCTGTGACTTAGAAAACAAAGGCAGAGAGATTACATTGCCTGTTTGCCAGTCTGTGAAATGAAGGGAGTAACAGCTGCCTTAGAGTTGCATCATGTATTAAAGTGAACTGTTTATAAATGTGTGTGTTCGCACACACAGAAGGTGAAATATTAGAATGCCTGGCCTCTGGAACAGGCAGTGTATTCCCTCCTTACCTACTCCTCTCCTCTGTCCTTTTCCCCCTTCCAGAGAACACAGACACAGTGCTATTTTCGTATGACCTTGGTAACTCCATATCCTTCTTTCCCAACTGTATGAATAGCCTTTTAAACATGGATAAAAATAATTAAAGATGCCTGTTGATGGTGTAAAGATGCAGTTGGGAGAGAAGTTTGCCTGACTGTGGAGTAGAAGACAAGAGGTTCAATCAGTATGGAATAGTTCAATCTTTTCTCTCATGTTCTGATGGGGAGTACTAGGCAACAAAGCTTTCTACATTGGGGTTTTGCCTCTTCCTTGATACATAACCCAGCCCAATTTGTACTCAACTTATTTCCTCTACTTTTTAATTTTTTAAGTTTTTAAATTTTTAAAAAAATTTCCTCTACTTTTGACTAGAACTGTAAAGAAGATAAGCCCTGGATGGACCAAAGACAAATGGAGTCTGATTCCAATAACTTTGTCTCCATCTCTGGAACGTACTTACCCATTTGGGCAAATGTCCACAGAGCTCCTTACAGTAATCATCTCTTGTCTGGATGCTTTGATGAATTTAGTTCATAGTCAAAGGGAGGCCATGGCTCTGACCTCTTCAATATTTTCTCCTGTGTCCCCTCTTTATCCAGGTACTGAAAACAGCCAGTTGCTTCCCAAGGGTTGCAACAGAGACACCTGCATTCTTCCCTCTGTATCCTGAGTTACCCCCCATGAGAGTAATCTTCATTCCTTACTCCACTCTACCTCCCAGGACTAGATTATAAGACTTATTCCTACTCTCCTCCTGGGGCCTGTTCACTAGCCCCAGGTCTCTGACTATTCTCCCCCAAGGCCTGAAGTATTCAAGGACTCTAAGAGTGACATTGGGAGAGAGTTCACAGGAGAAGGGTGGGGGAAAAAATAAACATCAGATACTGGTATAACCAATATGGACACTTTTTTTTGGTTAATCTTTCCTTATATTATTTAAAAAACTTAATATAGGGTCTAGGCTATACAAAAATGATGCTTAAATATAAGTTTATTAATTTTAATTTTCCATTCTGCTACATTTTTTCAATTTGTGTTTGCTTAAGTATTTATAATAAGTTACAGTAGTTGTGTCCTTATCTGTGTCCTTGGCTGTGGTTATTTTAACCTATTTTTTTCTGGAATAGGCTAGCTTCAGTTTTTTCCACTAAGTGGCACAGACATATTTGTCAATGTCCTTTTTTCTGCTTATCCTTAGGATAAAATACCAGAAGGAAAATTATTGACCATTGTGCAGACCTCATAAACCCTGTTGTCAAATTGTTTTCCAAAAGTGGTTGTCAAATTTGTGTTTAACCCAGCATCAAGTGAGTTCATTCGCTAAATTGCCCTAGTCATTTAAAAAATATAGTAAGTCCCGTACATATAAACAAGTTCCATTCCGAGAGCATGTTTGTTAAGTCCAGTTTGTTCGTAAGTCCTACAAAGTTAGCTTAGGTACTGAACTAACACAATCAGCTATATAGTACTGTACTGTAATAGGTTTATAATACTTTTTACACAAATAATACATAAAAAACAAAAAATGAAAACATTTTAAATCTTACAGTACAGTACCTTGAAAAGTACAGTAGTCCAGCACAACAGCTGGCATACAGGGGCTGGCATCAAGTGAACAGGCAAGAAGAGTTACTGACTGGAGGAGGGAGAAGAGGTGGGAGATGGTAGAGCTGAAGGATCGTCAGCAATAGAAGATGGAGGGCAAGCTGCAATTTCACTCATGTCCGATGTTGATGACACAGGTTCTGGTTCCTTGCTGGATTCAATTCTGTTTACCCTATTGAAGAAAAGATCCAGTGATGCCTGGGGAGTGGCTCTTATTTCCTTGTCATAGATGACATGGTAGCACTGGATTGCATTCTGAATGGCTGCTGCAACCTTCATGTACCATTCTACGTTTGGGTCCTAACAGTTCCTCCTCAAATAAAGAAAATTCCCTTGCCATTTCCTGTGTTGTGAATATCTTCGGTTCTTCAGCAGTACCAGCTACATCACCACTGCTTTTACGCTTTCTTCCAGACATCCTGGGCTTGAAATAAAGATACTGTACTACTCTACTTTATACATACAGTGAAGTACACAAAAGCACAATCACTTGTAGATGATGCATGCACGTGACAATGTACACCAGACATGTGAACTAACTTACGTGATTGGACATGTGAACACACGTTCGCATCTTTGAAAGTTTGCAACTTGAAGTTTCGTATGTAGGGGACTTACTGTATTTTTATATAGATGAGAACACAAATGCAATAGTTTCATTTCTTTGATTTCTGGGTGAACACGTTAATGTTTGAAAAATTTGTGGCCAGCGTATTTTTTTAACAATTTCTCCCCAATTTTTTCTACCATATACTTAATATGCTTAAAGTGGGGAGAGTGGTTTAATAAAATCTGTGAAAATGTTTCCTATAGGAAGTTCTGACATACATACAGAAGAGCTACTTTTACAATCACCATTAGCGATTCATGATATTCCATCTTGAATAGAGAACCTTCCTTGAGATTTCCCAATTATTCCTACAGTGGTCTCTCTCTTCTGTATCCTTAGAGCTAGGCCCTGAACTCTTATTTCAACCTCCTCACTGGCGTGGTTGGCTCCTGTCTTACATTTCTGTCTTCCTCCTCTCTACCACTCAGGTGCCATTTTGAAAGTGCAAAATTGATTATTTGTTCTAAATGTTTAAAAAAATGATAGTGATTGCTTTTTTCATAAAGCTCTAGACTATCTTCCAACCATCTCTGGGAAATATCTGCTTTACCACACGTTAAGATCCTCTGTTCTGGAAGATTATTGCTCTCTACCTGATATAGACGCAAGTTAAAGGAATTGTTAAAATCTTAGGCAAAATTGGAAGGATATAGAGATGTAGGATACAGGAGTTAGGTTTAATTTTAAAGTTCCTTTTCTCCCCCCATCAGATTTCTTGAGCTATAATTGGCACAACATTAAGTTTAAGGTCTACAATGTGATGATATGATACACATGTATCAATATTATTAAATGATTAACACAATAAGGTTAACACATCCATTACTTCATACCATTATAATACGTTTTTGTGGTGAGAACATTTAAGTCTACTCTCTTACCAACTATCAAATACACTTAACTTTTGGGAGAATGGCAGCCTGGAAAGGGTAGGGAAGCTCCAAGCTCTTTTCCTATACCTTCCTCTCTGCACGTCTTCCATCTGACTGTTCCTGAATTTTATCTGTCATAATGAGCCAATGATCTAAGTTATTTGAGGCTTTGGGTGGAGACAAGATGGCAGAGGAGCAGGACATGGGCTCACTCTTCTTATGAAAATGTCAAAATCACTAACTGCTGAACAACCATCGACAAAAAAAAAAAAATGCTGGAAACTACCAAAAAAGATATCCTACAATCAAAGATAAAGAAGAAGCCACAATGAGATGGTAGGAGGGTGCAGTTGCAATAAAATCAAATCCCATACCCACCAGGTAGGTTACCCAAAAACTGGAAAAATATTATATCACAGAGGTTTTCCCACAGGAGTTAAAGTTCTGCACCCCATGTCAGGCATCCCAGCCTGGGGGTCTTGCAATGTGAGGAACAGTCACCAGAGCATCTGGCTTTGAAAGCCAGCGGGGTTTGATTGAAGGAATTCTACAGGACTGGGGGAAACAAACTCCACTCTTGGAGGGTGAACACAAGGTCTCATGTGCATCAGGACCCAGGGGAAAAAGCAATGACCTCATAAAAGACTGGGGATTACTCATTGGCATGAGCCCTCCTGGAGTCTGCCATTTTCTCACCAAGACCTGGTCCCACCCAAAAGCCTGTAGGCTCCAGTGCTGGAATGCCTCAGGCTAAACACCAGCAGGACAGGAACACAGCCACACCCATCAGCAGACAGTCTGCCTAAAGTCTTTTGGAGCCCATAGCTTCCCGATAAACACACCCCTTGACATGGCCCTGTGCACCAGAGGGACAAGACCCAGCTCCACCCACCAGTGGGCAGGAACCAGTCCCTCCCAGGAAGCCTGCACAAGCCTCTTAGACTAGCCTCATCCACCAGGGGGCAGACAGCAGAAGCAAGAAAAACTACAATCCTGCAGACCACAAAATGGAGACCACAAGCACAGACAGACAACCTGAGATGGCAGAAGAATATGTTCCAGATGAAGGAACAAGATAAAACCCCAGAAAAACAACTAAGTGAAGTGGAGATAGGAAATCTACCCAAAAAAGAATTCAGAGTAATGATAGTAAAGATGATCCAAGATCTTGGAAAAAGAATGGAGGCAGAGATTGAGAATATATAAGAAATGTTTAACAAAGACCTTGAATGGATCACTGAAGAAATCAAAGAGGAAATCAAAAAACACCTAGAGAGAAACAAAAACAACAATCCAAAACCTATGGGATGCAGCAAAAGCAGTTCTAAGTGGGAAGTTTATAGCAATACAAACTTACCTCAGGAAACAAGAAAAATCTCAAACAAACTAACCTTACACCTAAAGCAAGTAGAGAAAGAACAAAGAAAACCCAAAGTGAGTAGAAGGAAAGAAATCATAAAGATCAGAGCAGAAATAAATGAAACAGAGATGAAGAAAACAATAGAAAAGATTAAATTAAAAGCTGGTTCTTTGAAAAGATAAACAAAATTGATAAACCTTTAGCCAGATTCATCAAGAAAGAGGGAGAGGACTCAAATCAATAAAATTAGAAAATGAAAAAGGAGAAGTTACAAAGGGCACAGCAGAAATACACAGGATCATAAGAGACTACTACAAGCAACTATATGGCAATAAATTGGACAACCTGCAAGAAAAGAACAAATTCTTTGAAAGGGACGATCTCCCAAGACTGAACCAGGAAGAAATAGAAAATATGAACAGACCAATCATAAGTACTGAAATTGAAACTGTGATTTAAATACTCCCAACAAACAGAAGTCCAAGACCAGATGGCTTTACAGCTGAACTTCATCAAACATTTAGAGGAAAGTTATCACCTATCCTTCTGAAACTCTTCCAAAAATTGCAGAGTAACGAACACTCCTAAACTGATTCTATGAGGCCACCATCATCATGATACCAAAACCAGACCAAAAAAAAAATTACAAGCCAACTATCACTGATTGAATATAAACACTACAATCCTCAACAAAATATCAATACTAGCAAATCAAATCCAACAATACATTAAAAGGATCATACACCACAATCAAGTGAGATTTGTCCCAGGGATATAAGTATTCTTCAACATATGTAAAATCATTGTGACACACGACATTAACAAACTGAAGAATAAAAACCACATGATCATCTCAATAGATGCAGAAAAAGCTTTTGATAAAATTCGACACCCATTTATGATAAAAATTCTCCAGAAAGTGGGCATAGAGGGAACATACCTCACCATAATAAAGGCTGTATATGACAAACCTACAGCTAACATCATACTCAATTGTGAAAATCTGAAAGCATCTCC